AAAAGCGGGAGGCGCCGAAAAGCACTAATTTGCATCACTGAGCCCCGCTCCCTCTCTCACTCTCGCTCGCCCAACCACTAACGTAGCTGGTTTACGTTAGCAAGCTAGCTCTCACACTGTAACATTAGTGCTATCACACAGTCTGTTCTTTATCTGCAAGCTTCTGTCTTCCCCCGCCACAGGCATCTCAGTTGCCGCCGGTTAATAGCCGGTCCTGCTCACTGACAGTCAAACACATATCCCTAAACCCGACCAACAGCCATCTTCGCGCCACTTTCACAATATTAAATTAACATTTCACAACACACAAGTCAGTAATTTATAATTCAATTTAAAACTGTTTGGTTGCTACTGTGATATATTCCTGCTGGCTAGCATTAAGTTAGTTAGTTAGCTTTCCAGCTAGCCAACCTTAGCTGCCATATGCGAAAATATTGCAGATATTTCTGCGAGTTACAACACTCTCAATTTCACATTCTAACCGCATGTTTATAAACTAACTTAAAATGTTGCATAGGAAAAACATACTCACTCATATTCATTTGGATGTCGCTCAGGTCTCTGCCATTGCTTCTTCAGCTTCTCCTGTCCTTCCTCACCGCGAAAAAGCCCACGTCACAATCATATCCCTCATGTGAGCCTCTGCGCATGCGCCACAGGCAATTTACACAGCTGTGTTGCGTTGGAGATAATTGAGCAGCATATGTGGCTTCAACAGGTATCCATTTTAAGAAAACCCTACTTAAATCAACTAGGTTTAAACAGCAAACTCAGATATATCAATTAAATTGGGTAAAGATGCATTCATTAGATTCAACAACTCACAGAGTTCACTTTTTTGAGTGTAGGCCTGTTTTAAGGAGGCGTTCTCTCCATGGTTTGGTTAACGTGCCAGATCGACTCAAAGCTGACACTGGCAGGCCGATTCTCACCCTTCTATCCTCATTTCTGCTGCTTTATTGTTATGAAAACAGACAATGGGCGAGCACTAAACAAAGGAGAGAGGGAGAGATGACGGATGGCAAATGTTTCCTCAAGAGAGATGGAGAAACATCTCCAATTCTAATGGGACAGGAGAGGGCGGCTGGGGGTCAATATGGGGTGAAGGCCCGCAGGGATAAAGACAGTGTGTGGAGGAGGAGAGAAGGGGGAGATTTGGGGGTTATTTGCACCGTCACGGTCTAATCTCATTTCCATAAATGAATCAGGGACGCGTGCCCTACTGTGTTTGCTGGCAGCTGCTGTCCTGCTACATGTCTGCGAGGGAGTCGCTTCATCATTTCTTTTTTTCTTCCTGGACAGGAAAATGCATTTCATCTTCTGTAAGGCGGCTCTGGATGTATTTCTGGAAAATATGCCGCTCACCAATCATGTTTTTGTTTCTTTGCTTCAGATGCTTTTCCAGAAATCTGAAAGCCAACTGTTCCGTCACAATGTGGCTGGGTAATGAAATTGACAGACAATGGCTCTCACAAGAAGTTGGAGCTCTTATTGGCGCATCTGTGTGAACCGTTATGCTTTCATATAGAAACCAGGACAGGCAATACGCTTTGAGGAAGTATCATGAGTTCCTTAATGACCAAACAATAACATTTGATGTCTCAACTATCCAGAAAAGGTTGGAAAAGTGATTTGATGGATAGTTGGACCAATTACATATAGTTCCACTTAACTGAAGTCGTTAAAATAAATAAAAGAGATGTTATTATAGTCAACAATTATTCATAAATAAGTATTATTTCCTGTTCATAATTCTGAGTTATTACAGCACTGTTGACACACAGCTTAAATGCTGGTAAGTGTGCGTTGTGCATGCTTGAGGCCACTGTCAGAGGTTAAAAACAAATGCAGATGTTCCAGTGAACTGGACCAGTTTCAGCAAGATGAACGCTTGGCTTTGTTTCAGTTGCAACTGACAAACACTCATTGGTTTGTTTTTCTATTTCACAATGCTTTCATTTTCAAAAGGGGTAGAGGAGAGTAGAAGAGTAGGTTTTCTCTGAGCTCCCACCCACAATGTTGGTCTGCTGCTGCTCTCTAGTGGACATGCATGGTACGTCCCAATACACATCCCCGTTCCCCTTCCATGAGGGATAGTCGGTTAAGAAGATGGGTTGGATTTGAATCGTTTTCCAAATTTCACAAACAATTTACGCTTCCATCCAATGATCTACAGTATATATGTACCTCCAAATAAGACAATATATCACAAGTGAGATCAATATATAAATAAATATAAACATTAATAGTATAGAGGAATGCTTTCCAACTAAAAAACCCATATTGGTTCAAAAGCTATACCTGATACCTCACAAAATACCTGGAACATCAAGCAAAATAGGAAATAGTCATTCAATTAAATAATTCAACATTATACGAGGGAAGACCTGTGGGCAAGCTGTCTTTAAGGAATCAATATTAGGTTTACATAATGGAACAACAAACGAGTCTGCAACCTAAAATAGATACTTTTTATACAAATATGAATATATATGCTCAGCAGTTAGGGACTAGCTTAAGAGACAAATGTTCCTCACGTGTTGATCTAAAACTGAATTGAGAGTGAATACAGGACTTATATCTGTTCAGTGGCCAGATACACAACTTTGAAATGAACAATACTGTGGCTTTGTGTCTTCTAAGTGTGTCAAAAGGCCACTGCTCTGCTGCCCCAAGTGGCTAAACACAGATCCAACAGCTTTATATTCAGGATGAAGTCAAATGAGACAAGTGTTAGCTTCAAAAAGTGCTGAATCATCACATTTGATTCATAGATGGCAATGGCTAATGACAGCATTCCAGTTTTTATTTAAACTGCTTCTCATAAAACACTTCACTGTCAAACACTTCTGCCACTTTTCTTTCAGAAGTAAAAAGTAGCAATGGGCCAGAAGAAGAGACTTTTGGATCTTTTGATCCGAGAATAGACCTCTCTGAAACACTTTGAACAGGAAGTGAACCTTTGCATGTAAAATCAGATCCTGCAGGGTAACTTATAATTAGCTGTGAGGTAAATGTGGTTACTGATACTGTTCAGTGCTGCAGTTCAACACTACAGCTCTAAGATTATAAACTGGGTAATCATTCATAAGCCTGTTTATAATAAATGACATTGTTCCTCTGAAAGTACTTTGGAGTGTGCTGGTGGAGAACATACAACACAATGACACAAAGGCACCTGACTCACTGACTGATATATCACACTGCAGCTGTGGGCTGCCTCACTGCCCTCTGCATACCAAATCATAACACAAGGGAAAGAACAATGGTTTTGATACTACTTGAATCTTTCAAACTCACAAAACAACATATCTAAGAGTCTGCCATATTTAGAATTCTGAAGAGTTGCTGAATTAAGTTCAAGCACATCAGAGATTTCAAGCTATAAAGTAGTCAAATGACTTTTTATGGATGTAAATAGTTACATCAAGGCTTATTGTACATGTTCTTGCTACTTAGGATGTATTTTGTGTTATATCGGGGATGCCATACTCATTTTAGATGATTGGCCACATACAGTACAGCCCAATTTGATCTCAAATTTGATCTTGGCCGGACCAATCGAAATGTGCACAACTACCAACACTTGCAAATGTTCCCCTTTTTGAAACGTAAAGCAGTAAAAGTAGATTCTGAAAAGAATAATGAGGCCATTTACAAATCAGATGAACAGCCTGAGATATCTTTAGAGACAATATGTTGCACTTTTTCCACATTCACTACATTTGAGCAGTTCAGCAACATCTGTAATGTCCGTGTGCTCAACATTTGCAAGCCAAATGCAACAAATGACTTTGTACTACATGTGGCTGTCCCAAGCTTCAATAAGATCTAAACGTCCTTTCCAGGCACATGGTTTCTGCAGCCTTCTGAATGCATGTCTTCTCAAACTGACCCTCAGAGTTTGGCTTTGATGCTGATGCTATACCCTGAGCAACAAGGCAAGCATGTAGCTAGCCTTCACTTAAAGCAACTTCTTGCTATATTGTTCCACAATGAGTCCGATAGTAGAGCCCATTTTCTTTCTTTGAGAACTGAAAGAGGCTGTGACATCACAAAGCACACTGGCTTGATTGATCCATTTGTCATTGCCAACCAGACAATATTGATCCTATGTGTGTGAGCCTGTACACAAGCATGCATGGTCCAAAACAGTGTATTCAGCATAGGGTCTACTTCTCTTATTAGGAGAATTCAACCACCAGATAGAAATATCACTGCATTTGATTGCGCCTTGTGTTTGGCGCTCCTGTGTGTTTTGGAAAGTTCACAGAGCCAAGCAGTGCAGGGTTACCGAGAATAAGTCTGTCCTTACTCGACCCTGAGCCTCTCCTTCCCTCTCTGCAGCTGCTCTGTGTGTGAACACACACCACACACAGGCTGCTGGGTCTCTGCCAGCAGCTCTAATGTTGACCTGCCGCCAACTTGCACTAGTTAGTTGGGGTAAAATATCTCTTTATGTGTCCGCCTTTCTTTTTCTCTTTCCTCAAACCTCTGTCTTTCTCTCTCACATGTGCACACTCTGCCATGCATTTCCCACCCACTATAAAATGAAGTGTCCTCCGTGTCCTAAAGTAACCTCACTCAAAGCGACCCTTTGTCTGTGTCTGCACAGGAGCAGTTAAGACTCCATATTACATAATGTCATATATTTTGAATATATATATATATATATTTGTATATATAATATCTGCATGTATATTTTCTATTTCAACATGTATATTTTCTATTTTATTTTATTTTCTTTTTCTTTCTATTCTTGTATATTTTGTAGTTTTGTTTTATTGTAAAATGCCTTTTATGCTGCTGTAACAACAACAATTTCCCAATTTGGGATCAATAAAGTACTATCTATCTATCTATCTATCTATCTATCTATCTATCTAAGACAGTGAGAATGATGATGAAGAGGGAAATAAGAGTCCATATCTAGATCTGCAGCTAAACCCAACCCACTTTCTCTTTCCTACGATGCTTTTCCAGATTGTTTACTTGTACTGGTTCGGTCTCCCTCCCTCTCCCTCCCTCTCCCTTCCTCTCCCGCCCACTAGTTGCTTTCTGCTGAGTGTTGGTGGCGATAAAAAGAGCAAAGAGGAGACGGGGAGACGGCCTAAACCGAACTTTTTTCTGTTGTTGCACGTTGGCTGTTGCATCTTCTAACCGTGCACTTTCACTCTCAAACGACAACTGTGAGTATCTGGACTGTGGCTTTGCAGAATCAAATAAACAGGCAATAATGTATTTGGGCACTGGGTAGAGGGGATGAGAACCCCCCGTCCACACACAGCTAGGGACAGTGGCGGACGTGCAGGAAACCATGACAGAGATCTGGCTGAAGATTAGTTGAACTGCACAAATATACAGCAGCTGTGTTGAGATAGGAAAATACGCTTTCTCAACAGTATGTGGGGTTATTTTTATTCTAGAAGCAAAGCAACATATGGAGCTTAGAGAGATTGTTCCAAGGATGACATGCCCTTTTGGATCGTGCAGGGATAAAAGAAAGTTTTCCTACTTAACATTGCAAACATGTTGTGAAATATGTTAGTCAAACACATTGAATGTTTCCGAGAGAGGCACGAAGGTCAGTTCGGACTCTAAAATAGACTAAATGCCAATTTCCGCCATACTCACTTACTGTGTGTGTTTGTGATAAGCCACAGAACAACAGTTGAAAGGACAAGAGCAATATGAGGGAAGCTGCTACTTTGATAGAAACTTCAATCACAGTCTGAACATAAGCTCTCCAAAATCAATGCATGGTTAAAGCTCTGTCTTACGCCACAAAATCCTTTGCTGCACCGACAACAAAATGTATCTTGTACATTCACGAGGGGCACAATTTGTATTTTATATCTTAATGTGCTTCATTTAACGCTCACGCAAGTATCCATCCTTATAAAATCACCTGGTGACTATCAGAGTGACGTAGAGCCATGCCTTTATCAACGGAGCATCTACAATACAGCTTATGTATCATATGTTCCGAAACAACCCAATACCACTTTTCCTGTCAGATACCTGATCTGTCAATAATGATAACAATATAATACATTATATAAGCTATTAGTTTGTAATGCTTCCCTTTACTTTATTAAATAGTCTAACATCATGCACAAACTGTGAAACTATTATCTTTCTCTCCCAAAGAAAGAAAGAAAGACCTAGCCCACAACATGACATAGTTATGCAATACTACTGTGTCTTTGTTTGTTTCAACATTTGGCAGTGCAAATGTCTAAGTCTAAGTGTTTAGAATAACAAAGGAATTATAATTCAAGTGCTAAATACCCAACACTTGTTTGCTGACTGATCGTTTAGGATATCAGATATGCATACCTCTTTATATTGCCATGTGATCATATCTGAACAGTATTGATCCTGCTAGGCTCCACGTGTAGCGGGTGCCTTTAAAACGTAATTTTCACTTGAGTGGGTGGGTTTTAATTGCATTGTATGATACACTGCACGTATATTTAGCAGTAAAAGATAATGAGGTGTCCAGACAAAGAAGGGATTTGGCATTCATCCAGAGCACCTTAATAAAGCACTCCATGAGATGTCCTGATGCGTCGCTGTGAATAACACCTCAGACAGACATGCCTTACTGTACCACTGATGGCTTTTCAAAGAGAATGGTTGATTAAAAGTTCACACTACTGCAACATAAAACATAATGGGCAATTTAGAACATGTAAATGAGTGTGCGAGTGTGCTTAGCCTGTACAATAGTTCAGAAATAACTCTCTTAATGAACTGTTGGATGGGTTATTGCTGCCTTTAAGTGCTCTTCCGAGAGTCATAATTACAGCGTGCATTTCAGTGCTTTTGTCCTGCTTACACAACATTTGATTTTGCCACAAAATAATACTGTAGGTGGACTTGGCATTTACTGTCCAGGGATAGTTACTGTAGTTAAGTATAGGTCAAAGAGACTGGAAAAATATACAAAATCCAGCACTTGGAATCTGATTTGAAATAATGGCTACATTACTAAAATGGCAAGGTCCTTACAAGGGTTCCTGTCATGAGAAAAAAAATCAAGCATCACTTTTACTTTTTATAATGATTTCTGACGACACCTGAAGGCAGCATAATGCTGCACCATTTACAGCAGCTGACTTTAATTACCTTATTGGTGTTCAAAGATATATTTTATGAAGAAAAAAAACATCTTCCACACCATCTTAGATAAATGTATATTTTGTTTTTATTTTTGGTCAAACCAAGACAGTAAATACTGATAAGATAACTAGCCACAGACATTTCAAAGCAATGCCTGTGTTCGAATTTAAACTTGTATTTAACTGACCTGTTTCCAGATGCTCCGTCTGACTGCAGGGCGCGTGGGAAGCCTGGTGGCCAGGCGTGCGACTGTTGCCTTGACTACCAGCAGCGCGAGGATGGCTAGCCATGGTCACGGTAATATGTCACCCATGTGTTTTTATAACTTGGCCCGTTGGCCAGCAAGCAAAACAGTATTTTTTGGATAAACTGTGAACAAATGAGGTGGTGATCAATACATTTAATTATTTTCAGTGTCAAACGGAATTGCTAAACTACAGAAACACAGAACATTACACAGGAAATTAGATTGAACATGAAACATTGCAGTTCACATAACATACCGGTAGATTAATGCATAAACAAATGTTTTGTTAGCATTCAGTTAGCATAACATTAGCTATCTTACCTATGTCCGGATGGTTGTAAAGTCTTCTTTGGCCCCATGGACCAAATATGTATAATTTTTTTTATTTCAGACAGGTGTAGGCACTAACAACATTGATGGTCTTTTAAATCCCTAAATACAGGTGTCGTTAATTAGCTTTACTTAGTAAAATAACGTTCCGAGGGCATTTATAATTCCCCGCTGTCCCAGAATGCACTGCGTTCGGCCATATATGTTACTGTGAACCTTTTTATCCTAGCCTAGCCATACATAGACTTTTAGTGATGAGAAGTACATTAACTTAAGTCCTGTTGGCCTACTTACAATTGCGATGTACACACCTGAGTCATCTCTTTTATGCCACTTTATACTTGTGTGCCACTTCATTTCATAGGGAATATTCAACCTTTTTAAATTAAGGCCTAGCCTACTTGACAGCGTTAACTAGTTAATTTGCCTGAGTTAAGCCAAAATGTAAGCTAACCTACTAAGATTTTTGCTTACAAAATATACAGAGTCTAAATATGATGTCTTGTCCTAAATTAAACAATCAAACAGTCAAGTTAAATATTAATTGTCATATATTTTGATAGAGAAAATATTAAGAAGAATGAAAATATTCATTAGCTCCAGTACTATACTAAACAGTTCAAAAAGAGGCCCCACCTGAACCTACTGCAATGGTTTTAAATGAATGCACCGGCAACAAAGATTATACAATATCTAATATAACAGTGAACATTTTCTGCATAAAATACTTAATTTTACTTAATACTACTAATAATTTGTTGCTTTCTTTTACTGAATTAATACTTTTAATGCTGGACTTTCATTTGAAACAGTATTTTCATAGTGTGATATTAATATTTTGACATAATAATTTTTCTTTAACCACTGAATACAATCACATTAAATTAATCTGGATTAACTAGTCATTCACTAAATGTTCACTTTATGTAACTTTCCCCCAGTATTCAGAAGGCCAATGTACCAGATCAGGAGGCCTCAGTCTGAAGTGACCTCAAACCAGCAGATGGCACTGCTGCATCACGAAATATACACAGATGTGTTTAAACAACATGTTATCATTTTCTAAAGGTTTTAAAATGTTCTCTTGACTGTACGTTGTTGCAGCAGTTTGGTTCCACACGTGTCTCTGTCCATCCATCCAGAGGTGTCAGAGGCAGTGGACATGTCTAAGCCGATGTACTGGGACCGTCGGGAAATCCCCCTTCCTGATAAACGCTACAAAGACATCCTGACCCCTGCTGACAAGAGCCTGAAGGAGAAGGAGAAGGGACCCTGGGGCCAGCTGAGCAACGAGGAGAAGCTGGCCTGTAGGTTCTTATACACACAGGCATAAAACACACATCACAACAAGCTTAAAACATGCTTCAAATGAATAAATACGCTCGACAAACTCTGTGCAGCATCTATGTGTGATGATTGCAATGTCTTTATTAAATAAAATACAGTATCTTTGCTCAATTCAATACTCAGAGACCACAATTCATTTAAGGCTCAAAAAATAAAATAATCCAAGTACATTTACAGAAGTAGTCCAGTATTCAAATGTTATGCTGGATTCTACTTCTACTCCACATGGTAGTGTTACTGTACTTTTTACTCCATCAATCTGAACTAGAGAGGAGCGAGAACAGTATCCCTGTCGATTTTTCTTTCTTTCTTCATCATTTGAGAAGGAATTCAGACAGGAAGTAGAAGACACCACCGTCCATTCAAACTTTAGCTCCAAGTCACTAAATACATGCAGTCGTGCACACAATACAGGACACGAGGAAGGATAACTTTTCTATCTTTCCTGACCTGCAGTGTACCGGCTCTCCTTCTGTCAGACCTACCCAGAGATGAAACAGTCGTCATCAGAGTGGAAGACTGTGGTGGCGGGGGTGTTGTACTGCTTAGGCCTGACGGGCCTGGTGATCATTTGGCAGACAGCCTACGGTAAATCTGCCTCACACTGTGAAACTCTCCTGTCTCTTATAGATTAGACAGTAGTAATGCAGGAGGCTGAGAACAGACACCATTTCTGCCTGAACATCACACGCGGGGTAAATGTCTCTTGCCAGCGATCTTTTTCACAGCAGACTTTCTCACTGATCACAGCTGTCACTAACAGAATTAGTGATGGCTCTGTTCCTTTTAAGTATCAGAGAGCCATACAGGTCAGGCAGTATGAACGAAACCAGAGCCCGGTAAGTGGACTTCAGGCTTTATGCTTTACACCAGCATTTGACAGGTCAGAGTGTCTGCTGTGACAAAGGGAAGCCCTGAGAGGCAAGTGAGAATAAAAGATGGTGGTGACACATTATCCTAGTCAGATCTAAACCGTTTTCTTTCCCTTTATGACTTCACAACAGGTGGAAAAGGTTTTGCTTGTATAATTATTTTAGTTCCTGTGATGTCATCTGAAAAACAGAACGGGAAAAGTTTTGCCTGGTGAAAAAACATTTATTATCACGTCAGGATAACTGTTGGTAGTGTTTGTTGTTGTAATATGCATTTGGACCACAAACTGCTTAAGTGCACCACTACCCTTCTAAATATTACAAAACATGTCTTTCCAAAAACTGATAAGAACAAAATAATATACATTTCTAGCCATAGGAAGACGTGACAGTAAGGTTTTATAATTTGCCAACATACAATATATTTACATTGTGTTTGGAGTGCATGAACAAAGGTATACTCACATGGATTATATTCCTAAATATAACATTGGTTAGTGGAGCACTTCACCCTCTTGTTGCCCAAATGAGTATTCCAACAACAAAAACAACAAAAAGAAATGTCGGAAGTTAAAGTAATGAACCTTGAAATATAGCTTTAATGTGTTCTTAAGTCATACACACAGGATTGAAAACAATTTAGATTCAATATTTTGAGTGTACTGCAGAGTCCATATACATATCAATATGAATATAATATATGTTTTCTCTCTCTATTCCCTGTTTGCTTCAGTGTCCCCTCCAGCCCCCAGGACCTTTGACGCTGAGTGGCAGGCCAAACAGGTGAAGAGGATGTTGGACATGAGGGTTAGCCCCATCGAGGGCTTCGCTGCCAAGTGGGACTATGAGAAGGGCCAGTGGAAGTAGAGAGAGCTGACCTCCATGTGTTGAAGATCTGAATGTGGCATTGATACAGAAACACTAGAAGGATAGAGCAACTACACATTTCCCGTTGGCCCCTATAGCTCTTAGTCAGGGGCCTCTTCTCGAACCACTGCAGCCTTGTATCCGTCCTATTGTGACCTTATTATAATAATAAAAAAGTTCTGCTTCTGCCTCTGTAAAACTCTTTTATTATCTGGAGCTCAACTGCTAAGCTGATTGCATTTTAGTGTCAAGGTCATAATTGTTTAAAGGGGTCCTGTTATGCAGATTTTCAGGTCCATATTTGTATTTTGTGCCTCCACTGTGTTTACATGCTTTAATGTTCAAAAAGGGGGGGGGAGTGTGTGGGAGAGAAACTCCCTCCAGAGGGAACCTAGGGATTTTTGCAGCCATTAACATGCACAAACACCTTTATAACTCCCTACATGAAAGGGAAACCCCCCCAAAAGCATAACAGGGACCCTTTGGATGCAAAGCATTGCACAAAAAGTCCTACTATCGAAATTGTAACCACGGGGTAGGGAGGGTTTTTACAGCTTATGATACAAGATATTGGTCTTCTCAAGGCAAAACATTCACAGTACAAATACAGATCATTTGCAGGGTATTTTTCAAACAAAAGATTATTATTATATCACCATCTATATCAGGGGTCTCAAACTCAAGGCCCGGGGGCCAAATCCGGCCCGCGACTTCATTTTATGTGGCCCCGCAAGAGCTTGCAAAGAATATAATACGTTTATTATATGGTTACATGCCACTTTACAGAAGCAGGTTGCCCATAAACTACATGTCCCACAATGCATCTCGTTTTGTGACATGCGCACTGAAGAGACTTGCAATTATTTGCCCTTGACTTCTGCTTTCAGACGTAGTTAATTACTAAGTTATTATCCTATCCGATAATAATCCAATTCAGAGGCAATAATGTAATATAAGACATTATTTTATATATATATATTATATATTTATATAGTTACAACAGGCCCTTTGAGTGCATCCTTTATGCGAATGTGGCCCGCGATGAAATTGAGTTTGACACCCCTGCATATGGTATTTATTATTCAGGACTAAAGACCCTCTTATCAATTAATTAGTGTCTGTAATGAAGTCCTTTAATCGAATGAACTCATGATTTGCAATCATATAAAGGCCAGTTAAGTCATTATCGCTAACTGCATGTTGAGCTAATGACCCACTGTTGAAAGCTCTTGAATCAATCCAAAAACAGGAAACTACATCTTATCACCATAAGGATATTTTTTACAAAATCAGGTTTAATTTTTCATTGTACTCCTTATGAACTTAGGAGGGGCTTTACAAACCCTTTGATTTCACTGGAATGCTCCAAACTAAAGCAACACACTAACTATGACTACATTTCCTCACAGCAGTCGAAGAGTTATTTTCGGCGTGAAATTGACTTTCTTCAGGATGATTTTTCTCCCGGAAATACCTTGAATATTTGACATGTCTTAATGAGCGTCTCTTCATGCACGCTTTAACACATACTCTATCCAAGACTTCAGAAAGACCCGGCAGACTCAGTTCATGTTCCAACATTGGCTTTATTCGGTTCATTTTACAACGGCATTCTAAGACATACAAACAGACATCTTTAGTCGTGTTCTCTTTATGGCCGACAAGAGAGCTAACGTTTTGAAAATATCCTTTTACTTAGCATGTTCTCCAATAACCCTAACAAACAAAGAAACACAATGCACATCAATGCAAAGAGTTTAAGGCCATTCGAAGGGGCACAATTATGCTTTTTACACCAAATATAAAGCAATCACTTCTGTCCTCCTTAAATATGTCACTAAGCTAACGCACTATTCTAATCAGTTTAAATAACTAGCATATATATATTTATATAGAGGCGTGCCAATGCTGTCACACTTCCTTCATTTGTGCCTCCATCAAGAACATTTTCCGCACAGTAATTCACACGCATGCACACACACACATAATGTGCAGGGGGGGGGGGGGGGGGGTTTGAGCGAGGGGCCAGGAGCAGCTTCTTGGTGGGGCATACACTAGAACACTAGAAAAATAGATTGATACTGTACTGGAATGTATGAGAGCAGACCTTGGCTAATAAGACGCTCCGGACACGAGCATTCAGAGGACACTCAGCAATAGTCAGTTTGTTTTTTATTGGTTGACATATTTATTCCCATCAGTTTAGAAAGGGAAATCCATAAGAGTTTATAGATGGACACGATTCAGTGAACATGAGGAAAAGGAGGACAATTGGAGGTGGATGAAGAGACATGAGACGGATGTTTCTTGCAGAAATCCAAATGATTCTTATTCTTTCTATGGACTAAGACAGTCAAAAGATACTAGCATCATGAACTCCTAAATCCAAGAATGCTATTATTGTGATGTCATAAAGAAGTGCTCCATAGACAATGAATTGTGAGAGATGATCACACGAGAGCAGCCAGGGGAATATTCGGAGTATATGGAACATTTTCTGAAAGCACTACAGTGGAATAACGCTCATTTGGGTATTCAAAAATAAAATAAGCATCTGTAGGTCAACAAAATCATTCTACCATCCATTGTCTATGGAGCAGCTTCAGACTTATTACCTGCTGACATGACAAGTTTGGAGCTTATGCTGCGTTCCAGACAACTTGGACATTTGAAAATAACAACCTACTACTAAAAAAACCTCAAATGGAGCGCCACCTGAAGTCAGAGCTTCTACTCGTAAATGCATCTACTCTACAAAGAGACAGCTCTCTGACGTCACACAACAATGGAGAAACGCACATTGTCAACGGTAAAACACCAACTTAAATGCAACATCAAGTATTTATGTCTGTATTTATTTAAAACAATACAAGCTAATGCATAGTTCCAAACTTCAATCTATATCAGAATATCTCGCTAGCGATTACAATCTCTGTAGGTTATCTTCTCTGCAGCAAAAGCTATTTGAGATCACTTACAAATGCTCCAAAAATGTGGAGGCTGCACTTCTGAGAAAACCCTTTCCAGAAACATCAGCACCTGGAACACATGGAGGGCAGACGTCGGAACATTTTCACTGGAAAACATCTTAGCTCCGAGGTGTCTGGAACGCAGCTTTACCTTTCTGGTTCTGGGTTTGAGAGAGAAGCTCATGGTCACTAATATTGAATTTCTAGGTCACGGAAATAATCTGAATTTAGGTGATGTTCCCTTAAATGTTCACTCAACATTTTTGATAAGAAAATGGCCTGTACTGAGCTGCTGTAACACACGAGGAAATGTTGTAAGCTGGAGACAGTATTCGGGATGAGATCCAGATTGAGCACTGGGTGGGGGTACTGGGAACAGGGTGAAGTACCCCCCCCACCCTTCCCAGTGAATTAATGGAGCTGCCAGTTGTTGGTGCGTGAAACACCAGGCGACAAACCCTCCGACTTAAATTAAAGATGGAAAGATGTTCGGAAACAAAGAAAGGGTCTCCTCGTCTCTCACACACTACATGTGACTGGTAGGTGTAGGTGTGTGTGTGTGTGTGTGTGTGTGTGTGTGTGTGTGTGTGTGTGTGTGCGTGTGTAGCAGCATGTGGGCCAGCTGTGACTGACACACGTGACTAGGTGCAGTGACAGCCGGGGGAATCGCAGAGGAGGAGGTGGAGACGGATGTGTGGGGGGGGGGGGGAGACGGATGGAGCTCTGACAGATTTCCAGTGTCTGGGGGAGAGGGAGGAGGAGGATGAGGCGGGGAGGGGGGGAGGATGGTGAGAGCTACGGCTGGATAACTTGGAATGAAAGTGTGTGAGATGGGAAGGTGTGTGTGTCCTGCAGACGCTGACAGCTGCTGATCATTTTCTAATGAAACTGAAAACACATGTGAGGCAGAACTGCTTTGTCTCTTCACTTTGCTACAAAAAAGGCTGTGATGTTTACGGGGAGAAACTGTGAGACATGTACATTTGAGTAATGGTTTGTAGTTAGGAATGACTATTGAGATAGCACAGAGGAGCATTGCAGCACATGATTAGGATTTTATTTCAAATTTAGCACAGAAATTATAAACACTTTATTTTAACCTTACCAAGAAAAAGCTGCAGCTAACACTTTCTCTAAAAAATCAAGTCTTCAGATGTCGTCGTTTATCACACCAACAGTTTAATTTACAATAATATAACATGACATTAGAAAAGAAAGCAGCAAATCCTCACATTTAACCAGAATATCTATGCTGATAATTATTCAATCAATTATCAAAACTGTTGCCGTTGACTTATCCAAAAACTGACTAATTGTTTGCAGCTCTTTAAACAATAAGTTAATTGTTTACAACGCATGATAATGTAGGTGTAAACAGACATAAGGATATTTAAGTGTTTATTAATGTAGTTTTCAACAATAATAACTTAGCAGTTATCTGGATTATGAACAGATAATCAACCAATAACAATATTTCAATTGCACGGACAATTTAAACCTGCCTGTGAAAGACCGTGTCATTAATAAACGTCTTACTGCTAAAGGTTGAACTGACGCATTGTGGGAGAAGTTATAATTGTTGACTCACACATTGATAAGCACAAGTATAGTGTTTTACAAACCGATGAATAAATGTGTACATGTGCTAATAGAAGCTAAATAGGGAGGGTTAAAATAAAGGGGTTGCCAAAATAGACAGCCAGATCTCTATGGGCTGTGTTCAGGGTGCTACAGTATCTGCTGCGTTCCTCAGTGACTGAGAGGAGGACATGGACGCAGTCGTACAAGAAACTGACACACGGGTCAGAGTGTGTGGTCAGCGGGGCGGGGGGGGGGGGGGGTTTGAATGGAGGAGCTAGGAATTGAGTTTAAGACTCCTGTTAGCTAAGATCTTTTCCACTCCTTCTCATACAGCAAACGATGACGTCTTTTTGTAAACCCGGGATTGAGCATAGCAAGGGCTCCTTCCACACAAACCAATACCATTTATCCATTCGATTTTGGAATATTTCAGAAAATAAGATCTTTGGCAAACACACGTTTATGATACTTTCACGTTTTGTTCTGATGGATTCACTTCAAATATTAACACCACTTTTATAGCAAATGCAATCGCAAGAAGTACTTAGCTAACGTTAGGCTAGCAACGGACTACAGTTTGCCGTGATGGTGTTTAGTAGTTTCAACCAGTTGCGTAGAAGCTTCAGACATTCACCAGTGGGGTATTTATTTTTAATGTCGTAAAAAAAAAAATGTGTAAGCTTGTGTTTACCACAGGTCTTATGATCCGAAAAATCATTGACTTCCATAAGAGCGAACTGGAAGGAAAATCTACAATGCTAACTCATTTCGGGGTTAAGGACACATCCCTGCACCACTCTTTTTCACACTAACCAATGAGCATGAAGGAGCGGGCAGGACAGAGCAATGGTTGGGTTAGGGTTATGTTCATACTGAAGCACAGAAGCTGTTCAGAGAGCAGATGCTACATCCTCCCTGCTCTCACTCTCCATTAGGCTCATACGTACAGCCGTCTGTGGGGGGGGGGGCGAACAGGCAGCCGGGCCTGAAACACACTCTTTATATCTTCAAAGACTGGGGTCCTTTTCAGCTGCTTTGTGAGGGCAAGATTAGGAAACCAAAAATGTGTTAAAAGTGATGCGTACAAACATAAAGACGGATGGAGAGGAGAAGAAGGAACAACTCTTTATAACCGCACAAGAATACTAGAACTCTTCCTCTCCTCTGGCTTTTACTCCAAAGTTCAACACAGGAGGAGTCCTCAGGTGTGTGTGGAGGGAGGAAGGGGGGAGTAAACATCATCAGCAGTTCTGACGAGACAAATGGGACCTTCATTTTATCTTCTTGTAGGGGGAGGGGGTCTTCACTGGCGCTTCTGGGCGAGGAGCGAGCCCACCACCACCCCGGTCACCAGGGTCATCCCCGCCAGCAGCCACTTCTTGAAGCTCTCCTGGGAGCGCCGGCTCTCTGCCGCCGCGTCCTGCCCGAACATCTCCGCAAAGCGCTCCTGGAGGACGGGAGAGAAAAGAGGAAGAATGAATATAGAAAGAAACACTCTATTCTTACTGGTTCATTGTCTGTAGGAACACACCAGAGAGATCTGTCTGGAGACCCTTTATTTGATGCATGGGAGCTCTGTAGGATACCACTACATTATGATGCGTTGTAAACAATTGACTTATTGTTTAAAAGAGCTGCAAACAATTAGTCTATGGATAGGTCAACGGCAACAGTTTTGATCATTGATTGAATAATTATCAGCATCGATATTCTGGTCTGCTTTTTTCTAATGTCATGTTTTATTATTGTCAACTAAACTGTTGTGATAAAAAAAGAAATTTGAAGACTTCATTTAACAGAAATGTGTTATATTTTAAAGACTAAATGAGGTTTTAAAAAAGAAAAGAAAAATCAATAATGAAAGAAAGCGTTAGCTTTCTCAGTAGGGTTGAAATATCAGAATGTCTTTGCTAAATGTGCAATAAAATCCTAATCATGTGCTGCAATTGTCAAACAAGAGAACATTTGTCCTCTGTGCTAACTCACTTATAATAATAGGCGAGAGGAAAGGGTTAACACCGGCTATTTGATATGTTTGAATGTGAGAAACCCCAGAGTTTACTGAAAGTGCCACAGACAGGTGTGCAGGGTCAGGTGGAGTCCCTCTGTAAAGGTCACTCGTCTGATGGCTGCTGCAGCCCACATCTGGATCACAGCCCACAGCTGGATCACAATGACTGTCTCAGCCCACACACGGTCACACGGAAATTTCCATCCACCACAGATATCATCATAAAAGGTGACATCACAGTAGCAAAGAATCCCACCTGCCTCGATGCTGTGCACCGTAACACCACCATCTCACTGATTACAGGGTGTTAAGACGTTCAATCAAAATGCTATATGTTGCCCCGGTGGGAAGTTGGGTTATGTGACCTCCATTTACAATCAAATCTAATAAAAACATCAAATAAAAAAGTTTCATGAAATAGAATAGAAATATGTATATATGACCATATGAGGTTGATGTAAAACTGTGCATTTTGTACTACATTATATGAAGAATAAATATGTAAAAATGTGTTAATTACAATATATACAGTGGTGTGTTATGGAATCAGATTTGTGCCAATAAGATCAAGCAGAACATCTTCAGCATCAAGCAAACATAGGAAGTATAAAACTCAGAAAATGTTATCGGAAAGTCAAACTTTCAAACAAATCATTTGTGTAATCATGTTAACTATTAGCATTTGTCCCGTTTTAAACATATTCTTTTGTTTACTTTGGTTCTTTCCCACTGATCACTGATCTCACCAAGTTTTAGATTCTCTCAAATTCTTATCTTTTCTCGATACTGAAAAAGGTGATGTTATTGGCAGCTCTGATTCCATAGTGTATTAGTGTTAACAAAGTGTAACTCAGTAATAATCCTTAGTGATATGAGTTTTGCGAAGTTATAATAATAATTGCAAAGGTTATACAGCCTAAGTATTATCCGTATTGAACAGAGCTCTGTCCCAGCAACTCCTGCTGGAAAAGTGATCCATACAGCTCCATTGTTGTGCTCACGTCCCACTGTGTTCCTCACATTGCTAAACCTACATCCCTCCCACTGAAATCATTTCCTGGAAATGAAGCTTCCGCACACGCAGTTCTGATGTCGGCCAGCAGGAGGCGCCTTCAGGCTCAGAGAGCAGTAACACAGATCAGCTGATCGACTGGACATGACCCACTGAGTCTCAAGAGCAAATGATCAAACAAATGGGGAAATGACTCAATCAGATGACTGTCTTCTCTTTAAGGGGGGGGGGGGGGGGGGCTCTGCTACTGGGAACCGCAAAGAAGGAGACGAGTGAAAGTACATGGAGGCTATCAGTGAATCACAGCAGGAATGCAGGGAGGAAACAGAGTCATAAAGTAGAGGATATGCTTCTCTAACCCCGGACTTCTCCCAAAACTCCTGTTAACCATGTGGACTCAAAACAAAACCTGACCCTAATCAGCTCCGATGACACAATTCACCACGGCAACGGAGGGAATTTAGATGAGCCTCCATTTTAATCCGGAGCAGCAAAAATATGAATGCATGCATAATACATACCTTTAAAAACACACTGAAGCAGAAGCAAAAGAGCCGGAGAGCACAGTCAACAATTACGTTTTGATCCAGTGTAGTGTACTCATTAATTATTTACCAGACTTGAATTTCCTTAATGCATGATGAAGTGGCGTAATCTCGCTGTATAATATACATAAGAGTCATAAATGTATTTATTCTGCTGTAGCCTGACAGGCAACTGGAGATGAAATGCAAGAATACACCGTTTTACTTATAGAGCCATGATTGTAAGCATCATTTAGGGGGATGTGCAGTTGAAAAGAGGCTCGAAACTCATTTTCTGGAACAGCGGCGGATGGATACGAGTGAAACCAAACTAAAGGGGCAGTGACAGATCAGACAGAGAAAAGGCTGGACAGGGTTAGGAGTATTATTCCTGAGTCATTCCAGAGTTCTAGGAAATTCTAATCTCTGGCTGATAACTTAACTGTGGTGTCTTGTTGCCCCGACATCCTCCTAATCCCTGAAATAAAAACCTGAACAATTCAACTGACCGTTCCCCAAGTTGTGAGGAAACATACCAACAATGAGACCACGTAGTTACAGTGACTCAGACTCTTCAGAATAACTTGTTGAGGAGGAAGGGTGTTTCTGTCTCCATCTGATGCGATGTAATGCTGAGTATTTCTTAGGAAAGGAATCTTGTTGCTGACCTTTCTTTGGGTGTGAATGTGCTGCTGTGAGATAAGGGGAAGGATTGTGTAGAAATGACCTCACTGCTGTGGTGTTAGTTCGGCCCTAACCAGAACCCGATCGATGATTGTGCCAATAGAACAGTCACTTATATAGAGTATACTGGTGTTACGTTGGTTACAGTATCAACAGGACTTTTGTAGTTTTTTTAAGAGCCAAAACTACAACAATATTACATTTCTGTGTTTTGCAACAAATCCAATCAAAAGCCATACAATTCTGGTGTTGTGCAAAAACAATCTAAAACAGTGAGACCAACTGTTGCACTGAATGTCATGTTTCTTCATTATGATTTTTGAGTCAATCCCACAGTATTGCAGCTGGAAATACTCACTGGAGCAACAAATGTGTATTCATCCGCAGCTGAAAATAGTCCCTCAGAAAAGGCCAATTTCCTTCTAAAGAAATAAGGCTGCTAAAAAAAACTACAATCCCTAGCTGTTTCAGGAAAAATACTGCTTTTAAAATGTGAACTTTTATTATTTGTGACTTGTGATGGCAACCAGATTTTTCAAGCTGGTCGCACAGTAGCTCTTTTCATTGATGTTATAGCTCTAAATAAACACACACACCTACAGTGAAGTGCCGGAGCAACTCAGTGAGCAAACATTTAATGAGACACGTGGAGTCAGTGTTCCCTGGCAGTGAGTAGGATGTGAGGAATGTGTAAATATCTAACTGAGAGCAACACGCTGAAGGACGCTCTGCCACTCACACAAGGATCACTCGAGGAGAGAATTTTTCCTTCAACTCTCATTCCTTTAACCCACCCTGCCGAGGCCTCGGTACTCGAGGACGCTCACTGTAGGCATGAGAGGAATCTGACTAGAGTAGTACGAGTAAATATGAGTTCTTAGCTTCACCTTGATTCCGACAGGCCTTGATATGGTTCAAGAACGCTTCAGAAAAGATAAACATGACAACATGGAGGAATATATGGGAGTCATAGTGTGTTTACAAGAGGCTGGGTTAGGATATACACTAGAAAGGAGTTGCCTTTAACCATCATGATGACAGCACTATATAAAAGGGAAGCTGGAATGTGCCACCAGGGATTTTGATAAAAGGCACTTTAACCTGTTAACCTGTTAAGCCCTGAGCCTGTTTTTCAGGTCTCAGGCTCGAAAATGACATTCCCAGAACAAATGACCATATCTTCCCTTCTAAAAGGGTTAAATTAATAATCTTTTTTCTCAAAGTAATGATAAACCTGTGAGTTGGATGTAGAAAAGTCAGAATCAATATAGATGTTTTTTATTTTAAAGAAAATTCAGATTTTACATAGTAAAAAACTGTAAATTATAGTGTCCGTCCAAAAATTCTTTTTTACTTATAGTGAAAACCACCCTTGGATGATGGGTTAGTAGACTAAAAGCTTTAGTATCCAAAATACAACATATAATAAGTACCCTGTATCAAGATTGATGCAAAACAAGTGACATTTGACCTTTTTAGAGAGATTTAGCAAAAATAAACCACTTCTGGGGTCATTTGGGTGGATTTTCCATATCTCTGGCCCCCCTTGCTCGATTTTGATGGTTGACACCTCTTTCTGACCGTTAGAGCCAATAGAATCGAAGGGGGAGTCCCCCACACACACTTATTGTGAAGAGAAAAGGTGGGGGCTTCGCGCATGTAATTTTGCATCAGAGTGAACCTATCTCTAGCTTTGACATCTGGAAACGGAAAAGCAGTTTTAATGCTTATGGATTATCAGAAATCATTTCAAAGGGACACAGACACATTAGATTAACCTATGGATTAACTTCAGCAGCGTTTTTATCGTTTTAATGCCATTGAAGACCACTTTGGAGAGACTACAGAGCCAAGGTAAAAATGTTAGCATTTTTAGCTACCTAGCGTCACCTGTTTTGATGTCCGTTTTTGCTTATAACATCACAAATACGTATAATTCAGTGGTAATGTCGGTGTCGTTAGATTCTGTGTCACCTCACGATGTGAAACGATGTGTTGGATGTGGTGAAAAGATAAATAATAAGGTTTTGCGAGTGATTTTCGGTGCAGTAAGGCGTTAGCATTTTTCGCTCGTTGCTAATTCAGAGGCTCAGTGTTAGCATTGTGGGTTTTCTTTTGAAAAAAAAAAAAAAAAAGATCAGTTGGATGAGTTTCTTCCCGTTACATGGATATAAAACATTCATAGTTTTATTAAATGAACATGCCCTCAGACACCG